CACGGGGATTAATTCGAGTCCCCACCGATTTCCAAACTTGACAGGGAGGAGAAAGTGCTCCTCTCAATTATGACAGATGATCAAGCTTCCACCATAAATGCACAAATGAAATACTTTAGATTTCTATAGTACCTTTCATGATCTCTAGGCTTCCTAAAAACTTTCCAACCAATGACATTCTTTTGAATTGTAGTCACTTTGGTAACTCAGCAGCCAGTGTATGCACGGCAAGCTCTCAAAAGCAGCAGAGAGCTAATGGCTAGAGATTTCATTTTTATTATTTTCGACTCAACCTGTTCAGAGCTGTTATTATTTGGCTCTGGAGCAGGTGGGTTTTGAAACCCGGGCCTCACTGCTGCAGGTGCAGACGGAATTAACATAAGAAAGTCATACCTGACAATCTAATTGGCAGCTTTGCAGCCATCAGCACTAACCCGAACAAGACAATGGACTGAGTCCAGTGGGAATTATCCACATGATTTTGAATCACACATCAAATCGTTCAGAAATCATAATGAATGAGAAGTGATTGCGAGTGCAGCAATCTGCTACTCACTCACCAGCTTCGATTTTGCAGAAACATCTGTCAATTTGAGATCCTCTCTAATCACAGGCAATTCTCTGCTCGAATGTGGCAACAGCCTGAATCACTTTGACAGCCTTTGATCAAGTACAATAGCCTGGCCTGACTACAGTTAACTCTTTGTTACATGTCCAGCAGGAGGGAGATTCCTAGAACCATAGAATACCATAGAATTCCGGAACAAAAGCAAAGTTGCTGGAAAAGCTCAGCAGGTCTGGCAGCATCTAAGAAGGAAAAAATAGAGTTAATGTTTCGGGTCCGGTGACCTTTCCTCAGAACTGTGTTTTTCCCTTCACAGATGCTGCCAGACCCGCTGGGCTTTTCCAGCAACTTTATTTTTGTTCCAGATTCACAGTATCCACAATTCTTTCAGTTTTTACCATAGAATTCCCATTGATTCCACACCAACCCTCTGAAGAGCATCCCACACTCGACCCTATCCCTGTAACCTTGCATTTCTTACAGCTAATCCATCTAACCTGCACATCCCTAGACACTATGGGTAATTTAGCATGACCAGTCCACATAACCTGCACATCTTTGGACTGTGGCAGGAAAACAGAGGACCCGGAGGAAACCCGCATAGGTGCAAACTCCATACACACTGTTGTCCAAGGCTGGAATCGAACCCAGGTGCCTGGTGCCATGGGGCAGCAGTGCTAACCACTGAGCCACTGTGCCACCCCAGGATTCCTCATAGAACACAACACCCCACTTTGCATCTGGCTTCCATTCTGACACTTCCCTCAGTGCATGCAGAAGTCCATGTGTCAGCTGATCAGCTGGTACAGAACCTCCCAGCAGGATGTGGGTAGGATGCCAACTGGATAGGAACTTGGAGGTACCTAGTGCCAATTTCTTGCTTTTGCACATATATCCCAGCATATCATTTCTATCCAAATAATCGTTCAATGCCCTCAAATACCTCCCTGGAACCTACCTCCACCATATTTACATTGGTAAAGCTATGTATGCTATCCAGCATGAATCTGCAAATGAACCAAATTAAACGCAACAGTTTCCATAAATTATTAACCCCGAAATATTTTATTAACAGAGAATATCAAAACATTAACCAACAATATCAACCAACCAACCATCATCAACCAACACTTCTGAAGAAGGGTCTAGACCAGAAACGTCAGTTTTCCTGCTCGGCCTGCTGTGTTCATCCAGCTGTACACCTTGTTATCTCATTAACCAACAATATACTATTTCATCAAGTTACACTTGTGTGTAACTTTAGGAATCGTGTAGAGTTAATTGTCAACAGACCACTTAACCATAGTGTCCTATCAAGCTGCATAATAAGGGAAGTAGAGAGAGCTTTCAACTAAACAAGAGGGCATGAGGGCTCATGCTTCGGTAAAAGTAATAAATCAAGGGATAAAGCTAGGGCAGGACTGCAAAATACTAATGTGGAAAATGAAGATCAGAGAAGGGACAGAGAGGAATATAAACTAAAGTTGCACCAGCAGTCAAGACTAGAACTACGAAGGTAAGGAAAGACAAAACAGACATAGCTGCAGAATGACAAGGATGGGTTCCAAATATTGAGGATTACAAAATATTCAAGAAGAATACAAAGCTAGGTAAAGGTAGAGTGGTAGCACAATTAATCAAAGATGGTATTGGTGAAATAGTTAGAGATCACCTTGGTTCAAGAAATCAGGTTGTAGAATCACAGTGTGGAGCTGGAGGAGACAGCAGGCCAGGCAGCATCAGAGGAGCAGGAGCATTTCTGAAGAAGGGTCCCGACCCCAAACGTCAGCTT